TCTCTAGTACCAGCACAATTTTTGTTGTTGTTGTTTACAAAAAAAGCACTGCTGTAACCAATGTATAGAGGACAAGCTCATATAATCTCTGGCTACCATATTAGCTCCTTGGGGTCACTGGCAACTAGCATAATTTAGAACAGTCCTCCTTCAGGAAACAGTTCAGAGCACAAGCAGGCCAGTACCAGTGAAGTGAAAAGTCTCTAGTACCAGCACAATTTTTGTTGTTGTTGTTTACAAAAAAAGCACTGCTGTAACCAATGTATAGAGGACAAGCTCATATAATCTCTGGCTACCATATTAGCTCCTTGGGGTCACTGGCAACTAGCATAATTTAGAACAGTCCTCCTTCAGGAAACAGTTCAGAGCACAAGCAGGCCAGTACCAGTGAAGTGAAAAGATGAGTTAATTGCACCCACTCAAATGCACACACACAGCTCCCTGAGCTGCTCAGGCACTCCTTGGCCATTGTCAAAGTTTGTGGCACAATGCATTTTAACCTATGTGAATACATTAAAAAACATTTTTATGAGCGTGCACAAAACACCAGCTTTCTTCACTTTTGACAAAAATCCTACTGAAGCACGGAAGCTTATACCATCACATTTTGTAACCTAACAACCTAATAGCAAATCACTTCAATTGTGTTTTGCCCAGAAATCTCTATTGCAGGATATTGATTACAGCAGTACAGGAAGTTTTAATCTCGTGAAGTAGGTAAACTGAGGTATAGTATTGTTTTCTCTCTCGTTTATTCCTTCTACTGAATTTTCATCTGTCTCCAAAATCTGCTGTTATGCTGCACGATGTTACTGGCTGCCATCAAGTGCATCTTTGATCAATCACAGACTTGGTTAAAGTACAGGGGTGAACAAACCACCTGCCACTCAGGCTAAATGGAATGGTCAATTAACCAATAAGAATCACAGAATGATAAAACTGGAAGGCACCATCTAAACCTTGGGCTATAAATTAAGGTTAAGGCAATAAACTGTCTGGCAAATCAGATAAGCTAAACTATGTAAAATAAAGTGTTTCTCTGGGGTTGCTTGCAAAAACGGGGGCTAGGGGTTTGACTGGCTGCTGTTGTGTGTGTCTGTGACTGTGGCAGGAAAAAGCAAGAGATGCAGTAGTGAGCATGACCATGGGAGAAAGCTGAGATACAAAGCTCCTTCTGTACATATTGCTTGTTGGAAAGGCAGATCTCAATTTGTAAACAAGGAAACTGCTTCCTATTTGTTTCTGCCATGTTCAGGAAAATAGACTTTGTGTACGCAATTTGTAAATAAACAGGATTGCTTCATAGAAATACCTGACTTGTATCATCAGTTTCTTTTTCAGACAGAAATAACTCACCCCTAAATATTGGCTAACTGCTCGTGCCAAAGGGATAACACTACTTTAACTTTCTTCACTATCATCCTCAAGCTTTTCTATAAACTACAGCAGAAATGTGACTATTTCAAGAAGAGGTACTGAAGTTTCACCGTCATCATCTAGATATTTTGTCAAATGGAACAAATCATATTTCATTAAATATTTTGTCTTCAACATATTCCAACTCCCAGCTGTCCAGTGCTCATGTAATTAAGCAGGCTGATTAATGACATCAGATAAGATAATTTGATTTGTAAGCAAATCTGGCACTTCAGTGGAGTCCATTTTAAATATTAGAGTGGTCATTAAATGTAGCTTGTAGAGATTTCAAACTATTTCACTGATTGTAGACAAAGGGCAGTTAATTGGAATCCTCTTTAAATTCACATGAAAGATGACTGTCAAACATTACTAGTGATACTGCTCATAAATAAGCACTTTTGGAGTTTACTGTTAGAAGTATTAAACTAATTAATCACTTTATAGTAGATGTCATCCAAGCATTGTAATTGTGTCTCTAGGTAACTGGTCCATTTGGAATATTCAAGGTTGTATAGCACTTTCAGTGAGCAGCAGCTTATCTTTCAAACCCAGTAATGGGCAACCCAGGCTAGTGAGTGGGCCGCCCAAGTGGCCCTTTTTCATCTCAGCAGGCTGCAAAATTGTCATAACCAAGTTGGTTTCCTCAGAGGAAGTAGTTTTGCTAACTGAGCCTGTGTATCTAGAATGTGTGCGGTGTGCCTATGAAACCATAATTGCATTTTCACACAACATTGACTGTGAGAGCCGTGCGCTCCCTCAACATCCAATCAGTCAGCACACATTTCAATTCACGTGTGTCACTTTAGTAAAACTTGTAGGAAAACAAAATACCTTGCAGGTCACATATGGAATAGGGCTGTCCAGCGATTAAAAATTTTAATCACGATTAATCGCGTGCAACTCCCCTTTGAAATGCCGTGGCGGCGTTTCAACGGGGCAGCACTGCATGGAGCCTGGGATCAGTGAACCATTGATAATCACCAGAAGAGAGGAAAACCTCACTTGGTCACAAATTCTCCCATCTTCTCTCTACGCACAGCATTACCTCTCTGTGAAGAGGCGCGATCTTAAACTGCTTTGTTTCAAATGTGTGTTGGGGATGCTTCCGGGCACTTTTCAGGTCATCCTCTTCAGGCTGTATATCATGTGGCATGGTATGAGGATTGATGCCTGGGGCAAGAAACATCAACTGCTAGAATTTTCTTCACCGTTCAGTTGCTATCATACTTCTCTTAATCAATGTAGTAGAGAAATAAAGATGTGACTGATTCAATAAAAGTAGGATGAGGCAGTGATACACACATGCATACTATAAATCTATCCCAAGGAAGCAACAGCATCAATTTAACCGCAAAAAGAAAGAAAGCTCATATACATACAAGCAGCTCTAATATATTCTGATCAGTGGCAGTCATTGGGGTGAACACACATACTCCTATTTGTCATATAGGGAATACACATCTATTACACTGTAAGGAGTTCATGAAAGAGTGAGTCCTTAGAAAATCTGACTAAATCAAACTCTGGTCGTCTGAAAAAGTAGGCTGTGCCCACGAAAGCTCATGATGCCATCTACATGTTTTGTTAGTCTATAAAGTGCTACCAGACCATTTGTTGTTTTTTAAGTTTATCCTGTACAGACTAACTTAGCTACCCCCGAAGCTTCTAAATCAAAGGAGGTTTCACCCTTCTTCCCAATCCTTTACCTTTCAAGGACGTAACTGTAGATGCATATTCGGCTTCCTTGGAGCTGAGATCCATACATGTTTGATCAGGTTGATACTTGTTGACAGTTTGGCCCAAAGGAATGGATTTCAGGGACTAAGAAAGAAGGAAAAAGTTTGGACTCCTACATGATGTTTTTAGGATTAGTCCTTCTCTCTCTCTCTGTCAAAAAAGCATTGTTTGCCTCACACTAATACACAGTTGCCTTTGAGGAGAAATACTGTTTCTACAATCAATGCTACATAGTAGAGTCATAAGAAAGGAAATAAAAATAACTTCTTCAATTGAAATTACAAGAGAAATTTAGATCAATAGAATGTAATTATGTGGGTTGACAGATAGCTACTACACCTGCCTAATCCTCTGTGTACTGAAAAGTGGCTGATGGGAACATTCCCTAAAATGCCCTACCCTTCTGAAACCATCTGCCTCTGGCTGGAGAATGTCTGGAAATGGCTTCCTTCAAAGGCCATGAACTCAAGTTTGCTGAAGAGCAACAAACTGGCATTCTTTCCCAGCTTCCAGCCTGCTGGCCTGGAGGTCTGAGTCAGATCTAGAGGCAACTAGGTTTTGTAACTTAGTAAATCTCAAGAAATCCCTTTACCTCATAGCTCCTCTGTAAATCAGGATATCCTTTTACCATCCTCCAGCAACAGAGCAATATGGGAAAGGGAACTACTTTTTCCTCTTTCTCCAGACACAAGACCCTAGGCTGCTTGAATTAGACAAATTCAGACTAACAATAAGGCAAACATTTTTAACAGTGAGGGTAATTAACCACTAGAACAATTTACCATGGGCTGTGGTGGATTCTCCATCACGAGCTATTTTAAATCAAAGTTGGAAGTTTTTCTAAAAGATCAGCTCTTAGAGTTATTTTGGGGAAGTTTTATGGCCAATGCTATGCACGGGGTCAGAGTAGAAGATCACAGTGATCCCTTCTGGCCTTGGAATCTATGGATCTATGAATATGCAACCCACTTGGATACAATGGATATCATGGCGTACACAAACCTTCTTCCAGCTCACACATTGATCTAGAGAACAATAAAAGTGATCTGAGGACTGAAAGGACTACTGTACTAAGAGATATTCGAAAAACAACATACAGGAGAATGTATTTAAATTAATCTAGGGCAAAGGTGAGCAATAAAATGGGGGGGTTCACTAGGGTTAGCCCCCAGCGGGCTGCCACTTCTATATTTACGTGTACCTCTGCAGGTATGGGCAATTGCTCTCTTTGGCCATGGATCACTGATCCCAGCCAATGGGAGTTGTAGGAAGAGACATAGACCAGGACACTGCTTCCTGCAGTTCCCATTGGCCAGGAATGGCAATCTATAGCCAATGGGAGCTGCAATTGCCCATACTTACAGAAGCGCAGATAAACAGAGGTGCCGGCCTGCTGGGGGCTAACCCTGGGGAACCAGATCCAGCCCATGGACTAGTATTTGCTCACCCCGATCTAGGGAGATGAGGGTGTTCAATATAACTACTTACAAACATTTGGAAGCAGGCACTCATTAAAAAAAATATAGAAATAAGCAAAACCCAGAGCCTATGAACAAGTTTTATAGAGGGGAACAAAAGCCTTTGTTGAGCGTGGGAGGAGTGCATTCTTCCCTAAAGCAATGTTTGGTTAGCATATCCCATATGGTGGATTTCAAGGACAAAAAAAAATCTGTTTTTTCTGATTATGCTTATTTTTCTAAGAACACAGTTTAATAAGGAACAGGCAGGCCTGAATATTGATCTCCCATTTCCTCCTCTCATCCCCCCACTGCCAACGCTTTCTTTGCAATACAGTAAAGGTCGGCTGAAATCCCATTTACTCCCACTATACATGAGCAAAATATGCTGATGAAATCATGTCACTCCCCACGCTGCATCCCTTCACAATTACTGGCTTCCATATCAAGTTCTGTTTTCTCAACCTTTCATTCAAGGGTTCTACAAAACTTCAGGCCCAGCCCGAACTCACTTAATATCGGCCTCCTACCGCCTGTGCTCTTTCCATGCCACACTTCTCAATACCTCTCTTGTACTTTGTTCCTACTCTTACCTTCATCCCTCTCTGAAAAATCCATATCTCTGAGAGATATAGGTAAGCTGATCTAATCCCCAGTACAGACTACGCTAATTCAAACTAAGAATTCATCCAACCACCTATGTGTATGTTGGAGTTCTATACACTGAACACCTTCCCTGCTTCTTGTGCACCATATGGCCACCTTTTCCTTCCTCCTTAAACATTGCTATTCTGCAGCTTTCATCCATGTTAACACAGGCTGGAAATTAGAAGGTTTCTAACCCTCAGAAGACTGAGGATCTGGAACAGCCTCCAGGTAATAATAGGTGTGGGTGCAAAAAATCTAACTAATTTTAAAATGGAGCTTGGCAAATTTATGAATGGGATTATATGACAGGAGTTCTGCTAGACAGGACTAGATAGTCCTACATTTTTAATCTACCCAAGAAAGAAATGCATAAGCAAGATACCAGCTCTGATACCTAATCCTTTTTATCTATGGTATTTCTAAGATACTTGTCACATTTTATCTAAGTACCGACATTATTGCTTTTACACGGGTCCATCATCTGGACACTTGGGGCAAGATTTTCAAATATAGAAGCCTCACATTAGAATAAAAAATAAGAAGCGAGATTTTCAAAGTCGGAGCACTTGACAAGTTCCCATTAATATCAATGGATATGTTAGGTGTGCAGTGCTTTTGAAAATCTGATGAAAATACAGATTTAGGAGACTATTAACTATAGGCTCTTAATTTTGAAAAGTTTGATCCTTGTGATTTATGAATTTGATCTATGTTCTTTGCATGTGGAATTCTCAAATATTCTTCTAACTTAGAATGCAAGCCTCTTGACTGAGCCTTGTACAAAACAGAAGAAGAAAGAGCACGCTGACATGCTCCATAATTAATAGGATACTGTAGAAGTGTTTGTCCATAAAAATAATTCATGCTGCATCATCTTCCTTTTGGTTTTACAATAGTTAAATCTGCAGATACTGTGATCTCAGTCTGTTTCTGCTTTTAAGATGAGTACAGCCAAACCGCTTGGGTCAATGCCTATCACTGTGGCCATTTAAAACATTTTTTAGAACACTTTTAAGCACCAAGAAAAATTATTTGCTGCAATGCAAAACCAATATCTATCTTAAATAACCAGATATTCAAAACCACATTTCACTTGCACTACATCTTTTCATTGAAGATCTCCCTATTTCAGCAAGTCTCTAATCATGGTAAACTTGCCCCTGTAATACAGAGGATCCTCAATTTTATGAACACTGGTCTGATGAACAATTAGTTATGAGCCATTTTTTTTTATTGGAAAAAGAATCACAAAAGATATATCAGTAAAGAAAAAATCAACATCCCTTCATGTTCCAATTCCTTCCTTGCATTGGAAAACACTTTGTAGTGATTTGAAGGACAAGAGGATGCAGTACACCACACTGCAACTTATTCACCAGACCTACTGTAAGTTTGAGATCTTCAATTTTATGAATTCTTCAATCCCCAATTATTCATAAAATAGAAGCTCTACTGTATTTATTTTGTGAATCTCAAACACTTGAAACAACATCTAAACTGAACATCCTGTCTGTCCTCTCTGACTTCTCACTTCTTTGTTTCTTGGGGAGGCTTTTCCTTGGGTTGGGCAGTAAGACAACTGGCAATGACTATCAACAGGGCTCGACAAATAATACAATCTACTCACCCGGGTGGTTCAGCGAGCCCTGACTATCAAGATCTAAGATTATCCATTAAATATGGCCTCTGAGTGTAAATCTCAAGACAGCAGAGGAATTGTACAAGATGTTTACAAAAACATAACTCAGGATAAAGATGAGCAAAAGGGAAAATAGATGAACATTAGGAAACCTTTCCTAATGGTGAGAGGAATGTCCCTTCTCCCAAGTCATTTGATAACCAATTAGATAGAAGAAGAGGGAACAAATCTGCACTAGGAGGAGAGAAAGGGGAAAGATGAAAATATAAAATTGAATCTTTCAGTCTCAAATGTCATGGGTTCTATGACATTCTCCCTTGTCTTGTTGCACATCTTCATGAACAAGATGCTATTTACCTTATATGATTGAGTGGGTAGCTGAGGAGTTTTTTCTGGACTGCCAGAAGCCTTTGACGAAGCAAAGGGGACAGAGGATTCTGGGGAGAAACAGTGACATTGATTACTCATCATTTTTAAATCTGTGATCAAGAACCAAGTCTGAGTAGACCGAACATTTTATACCAAACTGTTGCTTACTTGTAATAGAGATGTAGCCATGTTAGTCTGGTCTTGCTGAAACAAAAGACAGGACTATGCAGCACTTTAAAGACTAACAAGATGGTTTATTAGGTGATGCACTTTTGTGGGCCTGACACAGTACAGTCACTGAATGAGATTGGGGTTCTATCCCTGTATTTATAATCTGTGTTTGTTAAGGTCCTTTGTGTTCCTTACAGAATGATGGATATTCTCCCCCATTCCTATTAAATGCACCACCCATGTTGCAATCCCACATCACATGACCTTAGATGAAATTCCCTTTGGGATCTGTCAAAAGCACTTCAGCACCCACTCTGGCCAGCATAGATGAGTAACATAATGTGCTCCCTGCTTCACTCCAGCACTTGCGTCCCTCGCTGACCCAGAGAGGAATGAGAAGTTAGGACAGGGAACGAAGCCAGGTCTCTCACAGGGCAGTGCAGGTAGGAATGTTAAGTATTGGTTAACTGAATAGTCAATTAACCTCATGAATTTTTTCAGTCAGTCAAACTATGCTATAGTCCACAGAGATGAGGCCTGCAGTCAGTGCACTCCATCCCCACTCCCGAGGAGACCTCTGCCACTCCGCGCTGCTGCCTCTCTATCAGAGGCAGGCAGCACGGGGTGCCAGGTGGGAGTTGCTTCACAAGGGGAGCCAGTTTAAAAACCAGCTCCCCTCACAGACCAGCTGCCTGTCATCCTACACTGCTGCACAGCGTGGGGGAGCAGTAGTTCCTGTCTGGGGGAAAGGGAGGGGCTGAGCTCCTAGACCCTGCGCGAGCTGGAACTGAGCTGAGCTGCCTGCCCACCTAGCACTTAATTCACTTTAAATGCAGAGCCACAGCAGGGATAGGCCCTGGATCTGGCGCGAAACAGGACTGAGTCGAGCTGCTGGCCAGCCTGCTAAAAAATTTACTGACAAAGTGGGGAGGAGGGGGAGGAAAGGCATGTACTGTAGTCTATAGCATTAACCTATAAGCTTTTGCTTATTGGTTAATCGACTACACTATTACAGCGCTAGTGCAGAGTAGTACTCCTATAGAACCAAGCTTGGTCCTTGCAGCTCTCCTGATGCCCGATGAATTAGAGTCGTGTTTCTGAAAGTGTTCCACGGGAACACTTTGAGAAACACGTTAACTGGCCACCCCGGTTAGTTTATTTACTGGCGCTTCAGCCATGGAGCCTCGCAGTTCCCATTGGCTCCGTTTCACTCTTTGCAGCCAAGGAGAGCTGCAGGAAGCGATGGCTCAGCCCACATCACTTCCCGCGGCTCTCCTTGGCTGCAAAGGATGAAATGGAGCCAATGAGAGCCGCGAGGCTCCGTGGCCACGGCACCAGTAAATAAACAAACTGGGGCAGCCAGTTAATGTGTTTCTCAAAGGGTGTGTCTAGACTATAGGGCTTTTTCGAAAAAATTGGCCTTTTTGCGAAAAAACTTGCAAAAGTAAATAAAAAGAATGCAGCAGTTTTTTCGACTGCGGAAAACCTCATTTTATGAGGAAGAACGCTTTTTCCTAAAGTGCTCTTTTGAAAAAAGACGCTATGTAATGAAAATTGTGATTTTTCAAAAGAGAGCATCCAGACTGCCTGGGTGCTCTCTTTCGAAAAAGCGGCTTGCTTTTTCGAAAATACTGGTTGTAGTCTAGACACTCTTTTTCGAAAGAGGCTTGCAGTCTAGACGTAGCCAAAGTGTTCCTGTAGAACACTTTCTGAAACACTGAATTAGAGAATAAGAGACAAACAGAACTGAATGCAAATCTGCATGCTGGTAAAGAGCCCGTATCCCACCATTGATAATTCACAAGTTCTTTCGGCAGGATGCTTTGGTTGCAGTTGAGCATTCATTTATCAGTTCTCCCTCTGACAAAAGGGCTGCTTACAAATACATCATTCAGAATCAATAAATCAGCATGAAGCCAGACTTCTAATTCATGCTATGCCATTTTTCTAGCGCCACAGCACAGCTGTTTGTTGGTTCTGCAAAGATAAGGCATCTTGTATGGAACAGTGGATCCCTGGTTTGAACACCACCTCCTGTTTAGCTCATCTGGGACATTGGGGAAGCTATTTCATCAGTGTTCTCACCTTTCCTCTGCTTTCCTTTTGTTGACAGCAAGTCTTCCCTTCTACATCTCTCTGGTTCCAGCAGGGAGTAGTCCCAGCTACTGTAGCTCCCTGGAACAGGCAATGTACCTAAGTGAGGGGAAATGAAAAATAGTGAGAGACTGGAAATGAAGGAGAGAGCAATAGCAAAAGAAGTCATAACAAAGAGAATAGAGTGTAGCACTTTTAATTTTCAAAGTTGCAACAAACATTAACTAAGCCTCACAATGCCTTAGAAGCTTCTGTATCATCCATTGATGGAGATACAAAGGCAGAAAGCTGGTAATTGCCCAAGACATTAGAGGAAGTCTTCTCCAGGACTGGGTATAGAATTCAGGAGTTGCTTGATCCCAATCCTATGTTCATACCATGATTAAGACTAATAATATGGTTATCATTTCACGTGGGGAGAGAACATAAGAGAGAATCAAAGAAATAGAAACAGAATGTTAGTGATTGTGAAAGTGAGAATGAGACAGAGACCAGAATGAAGAGTCAAATAAAAGTGGGATAAATTGAGGAAGGAGGGCTTGGTAAGAAGAGAGTGAAAGCCCAGTTTGCAGGGAGTATTCATTGCTTCACAGGCTGAAAATGTCCAGCTTTTGGGCTTTTATTTCCTGTCTATCAAAGAGGGATAAACTCTTGGAAGAAAACATTCCACAATAACAGCTGCTCCCCTAGGATTGCCAGGGGTCCAGTATTGAACTGGACAGCCTGTTATTTGTACCTTCAATCCGGTAAAAAAATTCAGAAAATACCGGACATTTTACATGCTGCCAAAGTGAGAGGGTTGATGGAGAAAGGACGACTAAAAATTTCTCTCAGAGATCAGGAAATAAATTGTGTACCAAATCCTATATTTAGAGCTGGGTGAATTTTTTTAGATTAACTGTTCATTCACCAAAAAATGCAGTTTTGGTTGACCTGAAACTATTAATGAATTTGACTCAGTTTTGACAGAGAAAAACTTTTTCCAGGCCAGCAAACAGGTGATATGGATTCACATCTCTCCTCTGAATAAGACAGAGTAGATATGAATCCACATCTCATACCTCCCAAGTAAAAGCTTTAATTACCAGGTTAAAGAGAGTTGTTCCTCACCAGAGCCACAGAGAAGTTTTGGGAGATCCAGAGCAAAATCCAAAACCACATCCTTCCAAAAATATTACCACTAAGTGGAGGCCTCAACAGTACAGGGGGATGGTCTGAAGAGTAAGTGCTGGTGACATGGTGCACAGGGTCACAGCACCATTCAGTCTGGCTACTTTAGCCTCATGACAACAGGGCTGTCAGACCAAACTTGAGTGGTGCTGTAATCCCGCAGATCAAACTACAATGCTACTTCTATTTAGGGGCCCTCAAATGGGGGCTAGGAGTAAATTAACCCAATGAATATTTAAGTATTTATAGAAAGTAAAACAGCTTCCACAGGAGAGATTGAGAACAACCCAGCTTAAACAGCTTGTTGGTTACAATGCTCACTTAGAAGGGGGAAAATCGGAGTTCAAATACCTGCTCCAGAGTGGGGATTCAACCTGGGTCTCCTATATTCTAACCCTGGGCTAAAAGTTTCATATGTGGACATGCAGTTTACTGGTCTGACAAATTCTGAACATTTTCTGAACTGAACAGAGTATTTTGTCTGGTTTTTTGGTCTGCTGTCCAAACCAAAATGTCAGTTATTCACTCAGTTCTATCCTTATGTTCTTCTCTAATCTTTATGCTCCCGAGTACCACAGCAGGATGGAGGGAGGTGGGGTAAAGACATTTTATTAAGGCCAGAGAAGGAAGGCAGTTTGAAAGGCTAGAAGTTATTCTCCCTCATCTGGCTGAATATGATCTGCACAGATTGCCTTTTAAGCAGGAAGAAAAGATCTTCTCACCAGCCATCCACTCCGACAGCACATTGCAGAGCTGGGACTTAAACTCATGTGTATTGAACCAAGATCTTGGGAAGCTGGAGCAGAAGCAGGTGTACAAAGTTTGGCTCAGCAATGAAGGGAAAACCTAAGGGTCAAGCAAAGAAAAATCAAAACTCCAGACATGTTAGATGAGAGACACTGGGGACAGACATGTATTCCTTTCTCCCATATACAAGGACCATCCAAAACTCCAATCCACACAGATTCAGTCATAAAGGAATATCCTCCATATGAATATAAACTATTATTTAGACAACATTGTCATTTTGTTTCTTGTGCCATCTTTCCTGCTTTTTTTTAATCTTAAAAACATCAGGAATGTTAAGTCTGGTTTGCTGGAAGACTTCTTAGTGTACACTCATCCTACCTCCAAAGTATTTGCTAAACACTTCCATTACACGGGTGTTCGGACACACAAATCAAAACCTAAGTTTCAAACAATTTGAATACAAATCTCTTCTCTTCATAGTTACTCAAGTTTTAGTCCTTGGTGATGGCTCTAGCTTTTCAGTCATTATAGTGGCATGGGGCAGACAATGAATTTCTAAATCTAAGAAATAAGCAGAAAAATACTTGCACTGTTGGAAGCAAAGGAGAAGACAACCCTCCCCTCCTCTTTCTTTCCTTTTTTTCCTGTTTACCAAAAGGAAGAAGAGGCCACAGAATTTCCCCTCAGTGTGGAAGTATAAGATCTCTAAGATGAGGATAAAAGACTGAAGAGAGGGGAAGAGAGCCAGACAGGGGAGCTGACAGCCTCCGTGGGCCCCTGGGCAAGGTTGGGGTGGCAGCTCCAAGCCCTTCTAGAAGGGGCAGGGCCTCAGGTGGAAGGGGCGAGGGTGGGGCAGCCAGCCCTTTTTCCACCCAGACAGCGGCATGCCCTCCTTCCCCAGCCTTCAGAGCCACACAGAGTGTGTTGCACAGCACTCCGGTGGTGATTTAAAGGGCCCAAGGCTTTGGCTGTTGGTGCTACTGCAGTAACAAGTGGCGGAGGCTGGGAGCCAGGAGCCCCTTTGAATCGTTGGGTCCCAGGAAAATTGTTCCCTTTTGTTCCCTTCCTCCTGTTGACAGACCTGAAGCCAGATAACAAAGTCAAGGGAGAATGAAGAAATAGGGTTGCCAGGTGTCTGGTTTTGAATCAGACAGTCCAGTATTTGAGCTTTCTGTTCGGGAAACAAATTGATAAAATATAAATGAGAAAATATAAATGTCCAATATTTTCTAAATAAGATGTAATGTAGATTGTGATGTAATGTCAAGTGTGTCCAGTATTTTTGTTGAAACCATCTGGCAACCCTATGAAGAAAGGGAGCATGAACAGTAAAGAAATGACACAAGTAAAGTGAGCAGAAAGAGTTGGATGGAGTGCATCTCAATGGAGGCAAAGTAGTAGAGTAGGAGAGAAGCAAATATCCCCATAAAAATAAAAGCTATCATGGCACTAACTTGTTGGCTAACTTCATTCTGCTTGTGTGTTTGACTCCTTCCCCCTTCCTGAGTCTGTCTTGTCTGCTTATATTGCAAATTCTTCTAGGCAGGGGCCAGCTACTATTCTATGTTTGTATAGCGCCTCGCACAATGAGGTCCCATTCTTTTTGTCCCTTAGGCACTCATTACCATAGCAAACACAATAAAATATATCATAGTAATAATATGTGAGACGTGGGTACCAATGCTTCAACCTACTAAGTGGAGGGAACTGGAGAAAGAAAAGGCAATCACAGATGCTGAGTCAGATGGAGAAAGTCTGATTTAAAAGGTTGGGGATCAGGGTTAATTTCTTGGAAATGAGCCCAAAATTACAGAAAAAACAAAAGGGAATAGGGTATTCAGAAGATAAGCAAAGATGAAGGAGAAGAGCTTGCAGGATAGGCATGAAGGTGTGAGGATGAACAAGCGGTGAAGGTATGAAGTATGGACCATGATGAGGAGAGACAGAGCAGCTCCTCAGCTCTCACTGCCTGCACCCATGATTTTATATTATTAAAAGGACACTCACAAGATAAGAGCATGAACCATATTGGTCATCATGGAATATCCCAAACAGTGGGGTATCAGATAAGATCGTCTGAAATTCAACAAGAGCTCAAGCCCAAATGAGAAGTGCACATCACAAACTCTGGAAGAATTAATCAGTAAGTGTCTGTTCAGCATTCTAAAAATACACAATGCTACATATGGGGTAACTGTTATTAGCGTCCGATTATCCCAGTGGCCAGAGGTAAAGGGACAGATAATTGTGGATATTCCCAGGTCATTTCACTGCTTAAGTGTAAACTCTATTGCTTTTTCTAAACCTTTTTTTTTTACACTCACTTTAATAAGAGCTTTGTGGTTGGAGAACTTGTGACAGTCAAACAGGAGAGCAGCATAATTCTTTGCAATGCGATCAAACAGCCGTCCCTGGATCTTTTTATCTGGCTACCAAAAAAGAAAGAAAGAAAGGAATGAATAAGCAGAGAGGCATTCACCTACCTAGCAGCATGGAGAGCCTCAGGTCTGTCCGAAGGTTTGCGTTTTTACTATGACATGAGCAGAGTGGACTGATTTAAATCAAAGTGATTTAAAGCACCAATTTAATAATGATTTAAATCAGCAAGCAGGAAACCTTGATTTAAATAATCTGTTTTAATCTTGCTCTCTATTTGTACTCTTTAGCTATTTTCCTAAAGAAAGTTTGATTCTCAGTGGCTGGTAACCATTAAAACAGGTTGATTTGTAACTGAAAAGAGACTTCACACTAAATTTGGTGTATCTGACCTCCTTTGTAAAACATTTTGAGATCTATGGATAAAAATGCTATGAGATCTAGGCATTATTTTAATTGCTATATTTTATTTTGCTAACCAGGAGGATACACTATATTTATGCACATTTATTTAAGCAATCATATAGCTTAACATACATTAAGTTAAAAATGATGAATGATGCATTTCTTATTTGCCACCTGATGTTTATTTTTTTACTCATGATTTGTGTCAAAGAACATTTGGATGAAATCCAGAATTCAATTAAAAATGTACAAAACAGAATTTAAATCTTTTATTAGTTAAATAACACTACCTTAACTGTGATGGATATAGAAGAGAAAATGTAAGTTTATCAAAACATATTTGGCCTTTAAAACTGGTTGAATTATTCAAGTGTTATCTGTAGTCAATGAATTTTTAACTGATTGTTTCTGTTCATCAACTTTCAATCAGCTTCGCAACTTTGAACGAGCTAATCATTCAACTGAACTAGCTGAATAAACTGAAATGAAGAAGAGGCAGTCAAAAGCTGGGTAGAACTTCAACTTTGGTTCCAAGTGCTTAGCCAGTTCAATGTTTGGACTTTATTAAAAAACTTCAAAACCAAAGGTTTACTTGCTGGAATATTACTTTAATAGATTACAGTTAAGTGTAGGTCTCAACTTAGGTGGTAATCATTTCTAATTTTTTCTAAACTTTTTTCCTTGACTTGCACACACACAATCTCTCTCTCTCTCCTCAGAACATTTAATTTTAAATAGGTTTATATTTAAAATGAAAATAGAGGGTATGTGTGTTAATTACCAATTTTTATTTTGGTCACAAGGAGGTCACACATGAAGTGTTTTTGGATGAATAAATTCATCTGACAATGAGAGAATTTTACAAATGAAAATAAATATTCCTATTATAGCTTTTAAATTGTTCCTCATTTAGCCTATCAGTAATTTTAAGGAATTGCAAGCAACAACAATGGAAACATATATAGCAGGCCAAACTCTGCTCTCAGTTACATTACCAGAATATATCTGAAATAACTCCATTGATACTGAAATCGACGGAATCAGAGCATAAACATTTGCCTCAGAATGTGTGAAGACAACTAAGACAATTGTATATGGTGACTCCACAAGAACATCCCAGAAGGAGAGTTGGGGGAAAGGTAGCTTTAAGACACCTTTGAACAGTCCTGATTCTGAGCTCATCAGAAGCCAAAAAAGCCCCAGGGCTGTTCTGTTATTGCAGCTGCTCTGATGCTACAACCTATACCTCTGCAATCTGGAACTGCTCCAGCATGTCCATTGCACTCTGCATGACAATACCATTCCCAGCCATGCTGGTGGTGCACCATTACACCAGCGTTTCCAAGGCACCCTACGTAACACATATGTATTATATTGTGCTTGTCCCAGGCAAATTCCTCCCTGGGTAGTCAAGAGATTTGTACAGACCCTAAATGCCACCACAGTGGTAGTGAGAGTGCCTTCTCTAGTCTGTACTGCATTATAGAGCTTGGCTAGACAGATGGAGGAGGAATGGACCACAATTTTGAATGTTTGTTTTCAGTGTTATTTTAAGACAACTATCAAATATTTCCTCTGGCCTAAACTCTATATTCAGTGGAACAGTGTGAAAAACATAAATATCCAGCTTTTGTACTGGTCTTTTTTTTTTTACCTGATATAAGTGGAGAAAAAACCACCAGAAGCTGTCCAACAGGATAGCATGGGAAACTGGAGCTGTGAGAAACTTCTGCAGCATCTTGGAAGGAAAAGGAGTCTGGCAAAGAAATGAAATTTTATAACATCATGCCGTGCAGTCAGAAGATACACTCACAGGGCAAAACACTCTCTGATCTGCATGTACTTACCCTCTCTCTCCTCTTCTCAACTCTACTACGAACCTGTCCTTAAGAATTTACAAGTCTCTCATTCACAGAGCCTTACAAGCAGCATGCCACTTCTGAGAAACAAATGCATGCAGTCTCACAACATTCACATGCATATTTATATACATGTGCATGGCAACCATGCACGTCCACTCATACGTAGGCACATGCATGAAAACACACATTTTGCTGCTCTTTGTAAGTATGCAGAGTACCTTCCCACTTGCTGACTTTCTCTGGGCATGCACCACCTTCTCTATGATGTCAGCCAGCTCCATCCCATTAGGCAGTGGTGTTGGCTCATGCTCATTGAACCCTGGGTATTGATACAGTTCAACCAGCTTGTTCTTTTCTAATGTATCCTGAGGCTAGGATGACAAAGGAGGAGGAAAAGATGCATTAGTGGATGTGCCAATGACAATCCCTCAGCTTGGTGCTTTATGTCTCAAGGACAGGGAACAGCTAGTTCAAGAATTCATTTATCTGAGGTTCTCAACCTCTAGCTTATGAGACTTTACTGGGGAGTATTTAAGGTGGGGGTTGATCAGCAGCCCATGCCCACTCCTTGCTCCCACTGAAGTGGATTTACTCAGGTACTTATAACTGGTCCAGATAACAGGTGTGCCCTATAAGGATTTTGGGCCTATTCCACTGGAGTCTATGAGAGTTTTGCCATTAACTTTAAACAACAGCAGGATCAAGCTTTAAGTGTTGTCCTGAATCTCATGGCCTCCCAGAGCTTCCAACAGAATTGCTGGGCTCCTGGGCAGGGTGGGGAGGGCTACAGCAGCGGTAATGGCAGTAGCCCTGGGCCTTTTTAAATCTGTGGCTGTTCTGATGGTCTTCAAGCAAGGACTGGTAGCAGTAGGGATGCAGCCCAAGATACTACATGGAATGTTGAAGGGTTGCAGGAAACTGCTGAAACGGAGACAGGCATTGCTTGCAAAAGGAAGGAAGCAGTTTGTAGCGTAGACATGTCCGTAGTGATAACTGATCAGACCCCCCTTCTTACCTGTTCCGCAACAGAACACAAGCAAGACTTGTGTGAAACTGAAGGGCAGTAAAATTTACAATCAATAAAAGGATATAATCCTTTACACAGTATACAATATAATCCATCAATCTATAGAAGTAGCATGGAATGGAGAAGTAGGATACAGGAATGGATGGACCAACTAGATATGAACCAATTTGTTAGGAAGTGGGATAATGGACTAGGCAGACTTGTGATCTGCTGCAACAAGGCAATTCCTATGTTTCTATTCATCCCTCCTGAAAATAAAATGTACACATCCATTATTTCTTCCAGCAACCTAGAAAATGGACTGTGTCTCTTCCCAAGAGATACTGCATATGTGTAAGAGAGAGAAGGAATTCTGCCCTTCTCATAAGTGATCTTACCTTCTTGTAGGTGAGCTTGATCTGACATAGTGAGTCAAAGCTGGACGCACACACAGAGCGTTCATATTTCTGTGCAAAGCTGCTAATCTCTTTCCTATCTTTGTCTGCAGTGAGAAGAGAGAAGAATGAGAATACTGAGGAGCTGAAAAGCATGGCTGATGCCACAGTGACACAAGCCAAAAGAGTTTCAGCTGATGCAGCATGATATCCTCTACTCAACTCCAATCCAGTGAATAAGAGAGAGGATGAATAAGAAGAATGGACAGATCCTTCCCCGCTATCTCACTATTAAGGAATTAGGTATTGGCTCAGGGAAGTAAAATGGCAACATTATGGTGACATCCAGGTTATATATCAAATGAGAAACATTACTATAGATCTAGGGAAAGTTACCTTTCCAATTATATATGCAGGAAGACAACCTTGTAGTTAAGGCACAGAACCAGGAGATGTTGGTTCTATATCTGGCCTAGCCACATAAGTCCTACGTGGCCTGGGACAAGTAAGTTAACCTGTCCCTGCCTCAATTCCTCCAGCTTCAAAGTGTTTTCTTATTTCTATACTGACTCTCAGATTCCAGGTCCAGAAGGGTAATAATAATGTGATAATTTAATTTGGCCTCCTGTATAGTACAGGCGATAGAAGTTTCCCCAAATTATTCATAGAGCAGGACAAATATCCAATCTTGATTTTAAAAAATTGTCAGTGATGAAGACTCCACCATGACCCTTGGTAAATTATTCCAAAGGTTGATTAGTCTCATCATTACAAATGTATGCCTTATTTCTAGTCTGAATTTATCTAACTTTTAACTTCCAGTACTTGGATTATACTATATTTTTCTCTGTTAGAGTGTAGAGCCCATTACCAAATATTCCCTATGTAGATACTTACAGATTGTTTCAAATCACCTCTTAACTTTCTCTTTGTTAAGATGAATAGACTCAAAGAGCTCAGTCAATATAAGGCATGTTTTCTAATCCTTTAATCATTATTTGTGGCTTTCTCTGAACATTCTCCTATTTATCAATGTCCTTTTTGAATTGTGGGCATCATAACTGGACACAGTATTCCAGCAGTGGTAGTACACATGCCAATTATAGAGGTAACAAAGTATCTGCTACTAAAAATTCCCCTGTTTATGCATCCCAGGATTCCATTAGGGATGTTAAATACTGGTAAACTCAATAGTCGAGTAACCTCATGAATTCTTCTTCGTTTGCCAACTATTCTATAGTCCCTGGGGCAGTGCCAGCAGCCAGTGTGCTCCAGCCCCATTTCCAAAAAACCCCTATCCCCCTGTGCTGCTGCCTCTGTATCAGCACCCAGGGTTGTGAGTTCAATCCTTGTGGAGGCCATTTGGAGCAAAAATTTGTCAGGGATGGTATTTGGTCCTGCTGTGAAGGCAGGAGACTGGACTTGATGACCTTTCAAGGTCCCTTCCAGTTCTAGGAGATAGGCAATCTCCATTAATTTCTAATTTCATAAAAAAAGCATAGCATGTCAGGCAGGAGCTGGTCCATGAGAGGAGCCAGTTTAAAAAACAGATTCCCTTGCAGACTGGCTTTTTATCACTCTGTGCTGCTGCCTGTGATATGGGGCAGCTGCATGGGGTGGCGGCAGCCCCTGTCCAGAAGGAGTCTGAATTGCTGGACCCAACACAAGTTAGAACTAAGCTGGACTGCCTGCCCACTCGGCTCCTAATACACTTTAAATGCAGAGCCGCAGTGGTTGGACTGCCTGCCCACCCGGCTCCTAATACACTTTAAATGCAGAGCCGCAGTGGGAGTAAGTCATGGACCTAGCATGAGCCAGGAATGAGCTAGGCTGCTGACCAGCCTGCTAAAAATGTACTGGTGGGGTGCAGGGGAAATGCATGTAGTCGATAGCATTAACCTATTAGGTTTTGCTTATTGGTTAAATCGACTGTTATATCCCTAGATTCCATTAGCACTTTTGGCCATTGTTATACCAGAGCTCATGTTCAGTTGCTTACCCACCATCATGCTCAAATCTTTTTAATCGCTGGTTCATAAAATAGAGCCCCTCCCCCCGCATCCTGCAAGTGTGGCCTGCATTCTTTGTTCCTAGATTATACATTTAGCTAGATTAATAGTACATCCACATTGTTTGCTTGCACTCAATTTATCAAAGCTGATGATACCATCAACGTGTTTTGTTAGTCTTTAAGGTGCTGCTAGACTATTTGTTGTTTTTTAGGTTTTTTCAGTTTATCAAGCAATACAGATTGCTCTGAATCAGTTACATGTCTTCTTCATTATTTAGGACTCCCTTAATTATTGGGTCAGCTGAAAACGATTTTATGCTTTTTTCCAGCTCATTGATAAGAATTTTAAAGATCATAGAACCAAGAACTTTCTCCATGGAACATCATTGAACAGATGTTTCCAATGAGATTCCCCTGTACAATTCCATTTTGAAACCTACCCATTGTCTAGTTTTTAATTCATTTAGTGTGTTCAGTGTTAGTTTTTTATTTTTCAAATTTTTAAATCAAAATATCAGGTCTACCAACCAATGTTCCCACTAATCTTTTTCATCCATGTGTGGAATAATTTTTTTACATATACCAATGTATGTGCTAATGTGCATCATTAGTAGAAAGAAAACCTAGCTGTGGGTGCTCTGCTAATCTCTCCTGGGCAGCCAGGAACACTGGTACCAACCAAATCACTTCACAGTAGTAATATAAGGCTTTATTCATTAGTTTTTTTATGAGGTTCTTAAATACTGTATGCATGACTTCCATACACATGCCAAATGAAAAATAAATATGTTAAAGCATTAAGGTCTTAGTAGTTTAGGAGGAGCTGGTGCACAATCTGTTACTGGGGGTTCCTTTAATCAAAACAATGAGATTTGCTAACGATGTATGTGACATGGAATATTACTTTTCATATCTATACTACAGAATTATCCTCACACCCCTCATTTTGGTCCTAATGCTGCAAATCTTTATGTATGTGACTAGTCTCATTCAACTCAACCGAACTATCCACATGCATAAAGTTCAGCATCGGCTTAAGTATTCACAGAATCAGGGTCTAAACTCCCCAAATCTTGTTACTCACTGGGCTCAAAACTGATCATTGATTCTCTTCATGAAGTGTCTTTGGTTGTTTCAAAGACCTGGTGAGAAATCTAAAGCTGTCTCAAGGACAGAGGGGTAGCAGAGTTTGTACATTCAGAATTGCAAAAGTTACACAGAAGTTACATTTTTTGCTAGGGCAAATACACAAAGAGGGTGTGAGGTGCTTGAGATGCCAGAGGCATTAAGGTGGAACTTGCAGGAAATGTCCTAATATGGGACTCCATTGGAAAGGAAGGGGGATCATTAATACCCCAGTATTAATGGTTAGGAAATGTCCTGATCTGGAACTCCTTAATCTGTACTCATAACCCCAGTAACAACACCAAAGCTATGTAGTTAGAGAGCAGGTGTGCCTTTGTCCCTGGGTGTTCTGAAGTGCTTTTTCTCTCTTCTGAAGCTCTTCTGTCCAAAGTATCTCTCTGATTCCAAGTCCTCAATCACCTTCAACAAGAACAAAAACAGCAATTGGTGATAGGAATTAATGCCATGCTAAATTTGGGGGCTGGGGAATAAAAAGATCACAGACACCTAAAGCTGCTATTTGAGCTTAAGTATTTTCAGCTCTGAAATACAATTCTACAATCCATGAACTCTTTCTCTTGCTTCCTTTTTCTGTTATTCCCTTTCTTGCCATTGTACTTCCATTCCCTTTTTTCTTCCTACTACATGCTCAGGTGTGCATGTACACAATCCACAGTTAATTTGCAAAATCCCTAATCAAAATTGCAAGCTTCTATTCTAGTTTTGGGGTGTCCTTTCCATACTTTTTCCACCTTTCAAGGACTCAGTAATTCCCAGCATCTACACTCTCCTCTGAAGTGTCAGGAGGCCCTGCTGGAATGATGCATTGCCCAAATGTATCCTCTTAGGAGATGCTCCTAATTCTCTGCTTCTCCTTGAATATGCAGCAGCAAACTGTCTTTACTCACCAGGTCACTAGCGTGGAATTTTTTCAGCTCCAGTTCCAAACGTGCAATTTTCTTGTTTACTTTTGGCATACTTCCAATTAGGCACACTGGTAGTTAAGTTAAGGAATCTCTTTGACAAATATTAACAGATGTAACAAACCAGATAAAAATCATGCTGCTACTCTTTCTGATACTTTCTTTACTGCTAATTCTTATCCATATTTTCTATTTGACTTGTTTTCTCTTGCCTTTGCACACCTCACTCATCTTGGTAAGAGCACAGTCCAAATCTTTCAGAAAAGCCTCAAAACCCATCGCAACTGGTATCCATATAGTGGAGCAGCAGACTTTGGACAATCAACAAGATGTTTGGCAAATTAGGGAAGCATTGAAAAAGTGAATGGATACTAATTTTGATTTTGCCTCACAACAGGTGCTTCTTGTAGGCTGTAGGCACCCTGACATTAAAATATATCCACATTTATGACAATCTGTACATGATATTCACCCTTTATACAAGACCATGATAAATGTTGTACTAAATATGCCTTGTCAGGTATCATTTGAAAACTTGTAATTTGCTGAACGCTATTAGCTTGGTAAAATGTGTGGCAAAGTTGTGAAGTTAAAAGATTCTACTGTATAATATTGTTGTAATATGCGCCAAGTTTAGAAAAGCAGGCACAAACCACGATAAAATGTGTGGCCAAGTTGTGAAGTTAAAAGATTCTACTGAATAATATTGTTGTAATATGTACCAAGTTTAGAAAAGCCGGCACAAACCAGTTCCTCAGAAAGAAAAGACAAACCAACATCTTAACCTAGTGTCAACAAAGTCAGGTAGACCATCACCTTGTTAAATAGCCATTCTTTGATAGGAAGAAAGGTGTAAGCAAGAACTTACATATTGACAACATAACAACTGGGAGTTCCTATGTAAATAGACTGGTTGTTACCTGAACTCCAGCTAGAAATAATCCTCAAAGAGGAGGAAGTGATTTAAGAATAGAGAACATCCACAACCAATGTTCCCACTAATTTTTTCCACTAATGTGCACAGTACATTTTGTTATGTGCACTAAGGCACATGCAGATGTGCACAGCCAGTAGAAACACATGGTGCCAGCTGTGGGCTCTCTGTTAATCAGCTGGTAGGGTTACCAGGTGTCCAGTTTTGAACCAGACAGTTCAGTATTTTTGCCACCTAAAATGTCCAGTACTTTCTGATTTTTTCCTGGCCAGGAGGCAAAAATCCCAGGCTGTCCAGCTCAATACAGAAGCAGCTTGGCAACCCTACTACTTACTGGTTTCCACAGGGGAGCTGTCCAGGCCGGCGCAGGGAGGCAAGATGGCAGGTGGCCGCCGGCAGCCTGTTAGGGCCAAAAAGCCTCACCACACTTTTTAAAGGGGCCACGGTGGGGGTTTTTTGCTCAACAAACTTTTTCCTGGTGTGGTTTTTTGTTGTTCAGTATTTTTTCTGAAACCATCTGGCAACCCTAACAGCTTGGTGACATTTGAATCTCTCCTGGGTGGCCTTCCAAGCACTCAGCTCACAGGAAGCACAGCACACAACACAAATTACCTCTACTCCTCTGCTCATGGTAGCAACAGTGCCATAAGAGACACTGAACTGAGGAAAGGATCCTAGCCTAGAAGCTTCCAGTCATTAAAGTCTACAAAGAGAAAAACCTTTGCTTTGAATCCACTTAGATTGCTAAGTTAGGTAGCTAGTTTGAATTTTATCTTTATTTTCCTGGTGACCATTTGACTCTTATGCCTCTATTTCTAATCACTTAAAATCTATCTTTCTGTAGTTAATAAACTTGTTTTATTTTGACTAAACTGGTATGTTTGGATTGAAGTGTTGGGAACTGTCACTTGGGATAACAAGGTTTGTGCATATCATTTTCCACTGATGAAATGACAGACTTCATAGGAACTTGTGTCATCCAGAAGAGAGTTGGGCAGTGTGACACATTTCCAGAGAAAGGTCCAGGACTGGGCATTTTCTGGTATTGCACTGTATGTAATTCATGAGTTCCCAGCCAAAGCATTAATGTATTTCAGCTAGGAGTGATTTTTGCATTCTAGATGCTGTATATGAACTGCCCAGGAATGATTGTTCTCACAGCAAAGAAGTGAGAAGGCACCTCTGATTGGAGAATTTAGAGTACACAGCTGTTCAGTCTAGATTGTACCTGGGTAAGGTCATATAACATCTACACCACAACTCATCAGTCTGTCATCAAGAAATACAACATAGCAAAATCTCCCCAGCCATCTACTGACAGTCAACAAGTTTGCAGACAAAGTGTGGATGAAACAAATTAAATCTTAGCTCGCTCTCTCTTCTTCAGCATCTGAGCAGGTATTCACTGCTGAATTGTCCACATCATGCCCTAATCAGACCTGCCCAAATTGTGGCAGGTTATGTTTAGCTGGCCCAGTAAAGCAACATCCCACACTCAACTCAATGGCATTTCTTTGTTAGTCTGTAACATTATCATCATTAAAAAAAAATCACATCTGATCAGTTCCAGAATCACAGTGAATCTTGTAGGTATCAATGGGCAGAAATCTATTGATTTTGGTGAAAAAAGTGAGAAAGTTAGAAAAGTTCTGATTTCCATTAAAGTCCCCAATTAGTCATTCAGCCTATAGGGTGAGTGAGCGACCTAATCATTAGAGTCCAGTTAGGGTTAGTGGAGCCCTTAGCTGCACCCACACTCACTTATCAGAACTGTACTGATGTTGATGAAAATCAGAAACCAAAACATTTTTAGAAATCCCAAATTTCCACTAAGGTTACCAAAATCAACAGTTCTATCCATAGTAGGGGATGGAATCAAGAGGCCTGGCTGGAGTGGAAGTACAGGTACCCATCTAGTCATACAGCTTGGCCTAAATAAGCAACAAAATATGTGACCATGTAGTGTTGATTGTTCACTGGCAAAAGATACATGAAGGTTTTGCATCTAGGTTCCACTGCATGTTCTCAGTCTCCTTTGCTTGTTTCAGGGGCAATGCCCACATAAATTCTTGGAATGAGGTAATCAATGAAGTATTATTTAAGACTGCCACATTTCCAGCACCAGATATAAATTCCTAGCAAAGTGGAGACAAAACATTTCCATTATAAAAATACTAGGGGGCTGCAGCCCCTTCTTGCTACGCTCGCCAACCTCTTTTTCTGGGGCAGGAGGTGGCAACTTTTCAAACTAAACAGCCAAACCACATCAAAATTTAGAATAAGTGGTCAACAAACAGCCGTATAAGAATGCCTATTTGCATGAATGAAAATATACAAGTTATTATTGATAACTGACATAATGATTAATCTCTATACATAAAAAAGTCTTTCCTGCTGGACAACAGAATAACACCCCATCATCAGCGTTGGCCCAGTGAGAAGGGGAAGCAGCAAGGCCTCGTCCACGCTATGCCCGCAGAATGCCTGGTGTAGATGTTCTGGGGTTGGAGTGTTGCTGCCTCCAGCGCCCGCCCTCCAGTGGCCTCCTCCCTCCCCAGTGCTCCAGGAAGGCAGGAGCCATACAGCCTCCTCTCTCCCATGCATGCCTTCCCCCTCTTGTCTCTGCCAGTGAGTGCAATAGGAATGGGGGTGCAGGATCTGTGCAGTACGGAGTAAGGGCACAGAGTCTGGCCAGGAGGGAGGGTGCAGGAGGTGCTGGGGGAGCAGGGCCTGGGCATGAGGAGCTGGGGATGCACTTGTTTTCACACCACACACCGCTCCCAGGCACTGCAGGCTTTCCCCTCTGTCTGTCCCCCCAGCTGGTAGAGGGGGAAGGTAAATGGCAGTGCGTGAAGCTGACAAGCTGAATCCGGTAAGGAGGCCAGAGGCTTCCTCCCCTGCAGGAGGCTGGGCCTTCAACCTCATTGGGGGAGGGAAGGGAGTGCATCCCGCCACTGTGGCCCATGCTGCCCATGGGGCTTGTTCTGCTTTGGCTCTGCCTACCCTCACCCCTAGCCTATTGACGTTGACATCACTGTCATTCCCCAGGAACTTTTTTTTTATAGAGAGCAGGGCTACTCAACACGTGGCCCGCAGCTTGTTTGTTTGTGGCCCACGGGGAGCTAAAACAACAAAAAAAGCAGTCAATATAATGGTCTTCTGTTGATGTGTTTTAGTAGTTAAATTCCTGGATTGTCATTGCTCATTAAAAGTGCTGATTGAAATTGGGTAAATATTGCATTTTATTAATATCAGCAGAACTGACTGAAATGGGGACTGCGTGTTGTGTAGTCTTGCCTTAATCTTTGTATTCATGCCCGTCAGTGTGAAAGAAGCTATTTCCATATACTTGCATATATATTTGCATAGATATGCAACCACACTTAAGTTGCGGCCCTCAGCATGTGCTGTATCATTGTGGGCCCTGGGGGCTACCACAGTTGTGTAGCCCTGATATAGAGATTTTAGAGCTTTTTTCCCTTCCTCTGTCACACTTGCCCTCAAACTGAAAGCCCCTTGGCAAATGCTGCTGGATGTGGCTTTGAGCGGGCACCTATGAGAATCCCTTTTTGCAAACCCTCATTGCCAGGGGCTTGGCCCGGCGCCTCCTGTGGCACGATGGCCAGATGGTCAGCGGGTCAGCGAGGCTCAGGTGAGCGGGCGAAGCTCATTGGAGGATGAGTCCCCGCGTAACAATTGGCACTGAAACAGCCCACCCCCCTCTCCCAGAGCCTTTGGGGGGGGCCGGCTGGCTGCGTGCGCACGGCTCACCTGAGCGCGAGCCCGAGCCCCCAGGCGGCGCTATGCGGGGAAAAGCCTCCAGCGAGAGAGTTCACACCTGGCCTCGCGGGGCGTCCTTTTATCACCATGGCAACGCTGCAGCGCGAACCATTCCCTTCGGCACTCAGAAGGGAACGGCCGCTCCCATTGGGCGGCGCTGGGGGAAACAGGGAACTGGAGGGGGAGGCACTAGATTTAGAAAGAAAGAAGAAGCGCGCGAACTAATGCCGTTGCTTCGCACTCACCCCCCCGCCCCTTCCATGGTACAGCCTAGCTTCAGAATCAACTCTCCCCGCGCGAGATCGTTCGCGAATGGAGAAGGGGCGCGTCCAACACCGGGTAGCGGCTCATAGCTCGAAACGCTGTGAGGGGCGCTGAATACGGATCGTCCCATTCACAAGCAGCGCCCTGGATCCAGCGTATTTTAACGCAGGCCCTCATACAGACTGGCGTGCCATGCTGGTTCCCTGCCTTCCCCTCTCCTCAGTGGTAGAATCCCCACCTCTTCCTTCGAGATGGTACGGACCATCTCTGTGGACGTCGGAAGTGTCGGATACCAGTGCGCCT